GTCACATTGTGCAGAGGACTCAACTGGCTCCTGTGGTCTTGTCCCGGTGGCCGTCTGAGACAAGGTCTTTACTGGGGATCTGTATCTGGGGCTCATCTAGTTGTCCTGGTCTCCACTGACATTCAGGGCTGTTGAGGTCCTCTCTAGGTGCTGATCCACCAACTGGGCTGGATACGTACTGGATCCGGGTGACTGCAGTGACCATCTGATCTGGATACAGACTGGATCTGGTGGCTACGGTGACCTCGGAATAAGACAGAAACAGACTAATATTAGCGTAGATGGGTAGCTACGGTACGGTACGGTAAGTTTATTTACTGTGTTGAAAAGGGCTTTTGGCCTGTTACTGGTTTTATTAATCATGGCAGAGACGAAACTAGAACGCACTAGGTGTAAAGCAGATTTGTAATTTTTGAGATGTTCAAGAAAGGCTTGGTGATGAACAGTGAGGCCAGTTTTCCTATAGAGCCGTTCCTATAGAGCCGTCAAACTGCAAGCCCTCGACCAGAGCTCTTAAGGATACAAAGTTCGGGGGTAAACTAGGGAGAAGTGTGCATGGAAGGAACAGTTCTAGTCTTAAGAGGAGCATGCACAGACGGAATATCAGATAATATACAGTGACATTTTGAAAGAATCAGTGAAGGAGAATATAAATCAAAAACATCAGAAAGATTAGAGGAAGCAATAGAGGAACAGAATGATGAGATGTCAACATTATTAAAATTACGGTAGGATATGACAGTCTTAGCATATTTCTTATGTATAAGCAAACTAAAATTAAAGTCTATGAGTTTATAATCAGAGATACCAGTGTCAGAGGAAGAGATGGAGCAAATACAAACCCCTGATGTACAGATCAAATCAAGGATATGACCATGAGAATGAGTAGGAAAATGAACATGCTGAGACAGATTAAAACAATCAAAAACTGACAGTAATTGAGTGGTGTTAGGGCAAACAACATCAACATGTATATTACAGTCACCAAGCAGGAGAACATGATAAGACATGGAACAGGCGAGTGTTAACAGTTCACTGAGTTGAGAAAAATTTTTGAAAATGATTTAGAAGGACGATAGAGTAGGTTGATAATAAGAGAGTCAACCTTCAGTACCATATATTCAAATGTATCGGTGTCGTGGAAATCGAGTTGTGAGATTCGGAGGTTATCATGGTAGATGACAGCGAGACCACCCCCTTTGCCATGCAGTTTTGGCCTGGACAAATGCTTATATCCATAAGGCGTGAGTATGTTTAAATGCAGGAAGTCATCAGGGACTTGCCAAGTTTCCGTGAGAAACAAAAAGTCAAGCATATTGTCAGTAATGAATTCGTTGAGGTAAGGGGCTTTATTCGAGATGGACCGACAGTTCAAAAGAGCAGTGTGACAGTACGAGGCAGATTAATTTGATGACGAGGTTAGTTGACAGTTAAAGATGTTTCACAATATCAACGTTGATATTTTATGAGTATTTATTTTTGGTGTTTTTGTTTTTATTTATACAGAACAGTACAGAGAGCACACAAGTGGGGGAGAGAGAAGGGGATGGCATCAGAAAAGACATAGAGCTGGGACTCTTTCAAGGATCACCCGAAGCACAACCACGCTATATACACAAGGCTGTTGGTTCTAACATTTTATCAGAATTTGAAGAAACATTTCTACTTAAAACATTAAATGCATTTCATTCAAGGCAGGGTTTTTCCTGCGTAAAGAATTTCAAGGCGACTGTCTCTATCAAATTTAGTGCCGCTTCTGGCTGTCGACAAAAATCAAGACAGGTGGTCACACGCTCCTATACCCCTTTACCACCGACACGGTTTCTGTTACAGGTTCCATTCTCAAACTGTTCAACACATTTTCACTGCACAAATGTACAAATCTCTTGTAATGAGACACATGAGTAAAACAAGTTTTCACAGAAACTATAGTTTTCCACCAAAATAAAAGATCAACTGGTTTCTGTCAAAAAAAGTACAAGGGTTTCTCTTGCAAGTGCAGTGCAAAATATGCATGTTATTGTACAGAAACTTTGAGTCTTTAAATATTGTATTTGGATTGTTCTTTTACAGGTTTTTAACAATACATTCAAGCACAAACACTGCAAGCTAAAGTTTGAGATTATTTTCATGTAATATTTTCACGTTTTGTTTATTGAAGTTTGTATAGTGGGAAGTCGTGGCCTAATGGTTAGAGAGTTGGACTCCTAACCCAAAGGTTGAGGGTTCGAGTCTCGGTATCGGCAGGGGGGTTATGTGGGAGGAGTGAATGTGCAGCGCTCTCTCCCACCTTCAATACCACGACTGAGGTGCCCTTAAGCAAGTCTCCAAACCCCCCAACTGCTCCCTGGGTGCAGCAGCAAAAAATGGCTGCGCAGAGGGGACTTAACCATTAGGCAAAGGTAGGTGACCGCCTTGGGCCCCTAAAATGCTTTTTATATGCGAGATGCGCGTTCAGTGCGGACGCACAAGTGGTTGCTCTGGTGTTCATTACCACCGTCTGTGCGTCCGCGTTGAACGTGCTTCTTAGCAAAAGTAGGGCGATGTAGAAAATGTGGACGGAATCCCGGAATCTATTCATAAAAACGGAGTTTACTGTGTAACGCGGAATGTGACGGAATGAACGGCGCAGACGCGCGTTTGGTTTGCTATTTAAACACCTGCAACGCTCGCGGTTGTCGTCTGTAGTAGCTAAATAGTATTGTTTGCCTGGGGCCCCCAAATCACTAAATTCGCCCCTGCCCACAGGTGTGTGTTCACGGTGTGTGTGTGTTCAATGCTGTGTGTGTGCACAATGCTGTGTGTGTGCACTTTGGATGGGATAAATGCAGAGCACTAATTCCGAGTATGGGTCACCATACTTGGCCACATGTCACGTCACTTCACTTCACTTCACTTCAAGTTGATTGTAAAGCCATTGCTGCCTGTTCTACAGGTTTTTAACAATACATCCATGCGCAAACTAAAGTTTAAGATCATTTTCATGTTTTATACAGAATGTTTCCAAAATAAAACTGTTGTTTATAGTATAACTTGGTGTTTTGGTTATTGTCAGTGTATTTAGTGGTGTGTTTAGCTGTCAGTCTGGGGTGTATTTCCCAAAAGCACCATTAGCCAACTATGGATGCAAGTTCCATTGAACTCTATTGGTAATGATGGAACTTGCGACTGTAGTTGCTTTTGGGAAAGAATCCAGTTTGACCTCTGATCAGTAATTCTACTCTTACTGTTTTTAAGGTTTGCTGGATTGATTCAGTCCTCCATTTCACTGTAAAGCAGTTTTATCTAGAGTGGAAGTCAGACGGTGAGCTCATAACACAACAACTGAACACACATCAAACAGATGGTTTGTTTAAAACCATATGTAAACAGTACTAACCATAAACAAATTTAAAGTTGTGGGCCAGACTTATATGGGATGCTTCCCATATAAGCTTAAGGAGACCTGCTGAACAAGCCAGCAGTGTCAACCTGAAGCTTTCACCTGCACACCCACTGAAGCTACGCAGGGTTTAGTCTGGTCAGTACCTGGATGAGAGACCTCCTGGTTTGCTGCTGGAAGAGTTGTTAGTGAAGGCAGCAGGGGGAGCTCATCCTGTGCTCTGAGTGGGGAGGATTCACATTGACAGTTCTGCTGTGTTTTCAGCAGTAGCGTTATTAGATATGCTGGAGAGCTATTGAAGAAAATGTCTCAAATGTCTGTTTTGTTCTGTTTGTGCTGGTGGAATCTGATTGGTAAGCTATACTTTTTTGTTTAATTATATGGTTGATTATTTTTTTCCCATGTCAGAGTAATAAAGTAGCTGCTACACTAACAAAAAAGGTACAAAAAACTGTCACTGAGGCGGTATACTTTAGGTACTAAAACATTTAATATACTATTTTAAATGATTTTAAAAGTTTTTTTTTTTTTAATCAGTCTGTAATAATTATCATGCATTTGTTTAGTAAATGTTGCACATTGATTTTCCTCTACAACAGATAACTTTAAAGCAAATGAAATATTAAGGATGTGTTGCACCATAAGGATTAAGCTTAAATCTAGATTAAATCTAGATGGGTTGTTATAGCTGCAGGGAAAAATACCTTTAAAAGTAATCCATTTCAATATAAAAACTCAATTTTTATACTCCATAAAAAAGTAACTTATTGTGTTAGTTACTTTTTATGGAAAGTAGTGGTTTATGTTACTTTTGTGTTACTTTTTGTCACCTGGGCTGGGCTTGCTTATTTATTTTTAATAATAAAACCCCCAAAAGTTTTATTTTGGGCAATTGTAAAGGCCCTTTCATACCATAAGTGAAATTAATAAGCCTCAGGCTGAAGTAACTCTTCCTCTGCACATATTCCCAATTTATCTCAACACAGGGGCAGGAGAGCTGTCAGTGAATAAATGTGAAAACAAAGTTACTTGCGTTCCTTATTTGAAAAAGTAACTCTTCACTGTAAATTTAAAAGTAATGTGTTACTTTAGTTACTTGATGAAAGTGATATGATTATGTGTCATATGGGGATTGGTTATCTGTCCCTTTTCATAAATCATGCTGCTAAATATATTCTTAGGTAATCTGCAAGTGCTGCTGCAATGTTTTCTCTGCCTGCTTAATATTAATAATCTCTCTTTATTGGTAGTGGTTAGCAGTTTACAGTATCAGTTTATAAAGAGAGTTGATATTGTATTTTTATTTATCTGCAAGAGTTACAGTACTTATATCAGACAAAAAGTTCTGCTTGTCAGTCAAAAAATAAAAATAAAAACGGAAATGGAATATGTGTTGCTTTTTAGTTACAGTGGCCTACCTTTGTAATTACCTTAGCCTGTGTAAAATCAGTTTTTATTTCCCAGGTGTGTTTGGTGAGTCAGTGTCAGTGATGGAGGGGGATTCTGTCACTCTAAACACTGATGTTACTGAAATACTTGAAGACGATGACATACTGTGGAAATTTGGAGCTGAAAAGTCTCGCATAGCTGAAATCAGTAGAGAGAAACAAATCTTTTTCACATATGATAATGTTCCTGATGGGATATTCAGAGACAGACTGAAGCTGGACAATCAAACTGGATCTCTGACCATCAAAAACATCACATCTGAACATGTTGGACTCTATGAATTACAGATAAGTGGAGCAAAACTGACATCAAAAACATTCAGTCTTTCTGTCTATGGTGAGTAGAGATCATTTGTTCTACCCGTTACATATTCTTGTTTTACAGTTTGAGATGACATCATATAAACACTCACTCAACACTGAACTGAAAATAAAGTTGTGTAGATTTATCCACATTTCAGTTTATTCTCTCATGTTTTGCAGCACGTCTGCCTGTTACTAACATTACCAGAGACTGTTCTTCATCATCATCATCATCAGGATCATCATATTGTTCACTGGTGTGTTCAGTGGTGAATGTGGGTCATGTGACTCTCTCCTGGTACAAAGGAAACAGTTTATTGTCCAGCATCAGTGTGTCTGATCTCAGCATCAGTCTCTCTCTACCTCTGGAGGTGGAATATCAGGATAAAAACACCTACAGCTGTGTGCTCAACAATCCCATCAGCAACCAGATCACACATCTGGACATCAGTCAACTCTGTCACACATGTGCAGGTATGGAAGTAGTGATATTAATGTTTATTTGTTGGTCTGATCTCTGTCTATTCAATTCAATTCAATTCAAGTTTATTTTTATAGTGCTTTTCACGATACAAATCGTTGCAAAGCAATTTTACAGAACCTCCTTTAGTGGACTTTGCTATCCTAGGCAAAGTACTACCAAGAGTCCAGAGTTTTGCGACCTTAGGGAGCGTGATTGATTGTAGCGTGGTAGAAGACTAGTTAGGTAAGCAGGAGCTAAACCATTAAGGGCCTTGTAGGTAAGTAATAATATTTTGTAACTGATACGGAACTTAATAGGTAGCCAGTGCAGAGACTGTAAAATTGGGGTAATATGATCATATTTTCTTGACCTGGTAAGGACTCTAGCCGCTGCATTTTGGACTACCTGTAGCTTGTTTATTGAAGATGCAGGACAACCACCTAGCAGTGCATTACAATAGTCCAGTCTAGAGGTCATGAATGCATGAACTAGCTTTTCTGCATCAGAAACAGGTAACATATTTGGTAGTTTGGCAATGTTTCTAAGATGGAAGAATGCTGTTTTTGTAACATGGGAAATATGATTTTCAAAAGACAAGTTGCTATCTAATATAACAGATGTTTGACTGTAGAGGAAGTAACAGTACATCTGTCTAGTTGCAAATTGTAATCCACGAGATTCTGTGTACTGTCTTTTGGTCCAATAAGTAATATTTCTGTCTTATCCGAATTTAATAGGAGAAAATTATTAGTCATCCAATCTTTTACATTTTTAACACATTCTGTTAGCTTATATTATTTAGAAGTTTCATCTGGTCTTGTTGAGATATATAGTTGGGTATCATCAACATAACAGTGGAAACTAATCCGTATTTTCTAATAATATTACCAAGGGGCATGTAATTGAACATTACCATGTATATTGAAAATAGCAGAGGACCTAGGACAGATCCTTGTGGCACTCCATATTTTACTGGTCATAATTGAGATGACTCCCCATTTAAATAAACAAAGTGGTAGCGATCGGACAGGTATGATCTAAAACATCTTAAAGCCTGCCCTTGAATACCTGTATAGTTTTGTAATCGATCTATGAGTATGCCATGATCTATAGTGTCGAACGCAGCACTAAGATCAAGTAAAACTAGCAATGAGATGCAGCCTTGGTCTGACGCAAGAAGCAAGTCATTTGTAATTTTAACAATTGTATATTGTTATAGATGAGACTTACAATAATGTCAGTAACTTACATTAATGTCTCTCTTTTACTCTTCTTCACATCCTCCAGTATTAGATTCTCTGATAGTGTTGATTGCTGCTGCCGAATCTCTGTTGATTGTCGCTGGATTTGGGATCTTCTGAGTTGTTTATATTTTTAATGCACTAAATAGCCTGAAATGTTTTCTACGAAAATCCAGTGTATTACTGTGTGTTTGATTCTGTGCTTCTTTAAAGTTGACATTTGTGAAGTTATTATTAATAATAATAATTATTATCGTGGTAGAAGACACTCTGGCATTAAGCTACTGTGAAGGGGGTCCTCAGGATTGTTATTGCTGCAGGGTCCAATGTGTTCTCACATTGTTGGGGAAAGTTACTTTTAAAAGTAATCCATTTTAATATTGCATTACTCCACTAAAAAAGTAACTAATTGTGTTAGTTATTTTTTATGGAAAGTAATGCATTTTGTTACTTTTGTGTTACTTTTTGTCACTTGGGCTGGGCTTATTTGCTTTTCATAAGAAAAAACCCAAAAGCTATATTTCGGGCAACTGTAAAGGCCCTTTCACACTAAAAGTGAAATGAGTAAGCCTCAGGCTGAAGGAAGTGCCTCTTCCTCTGCACTTACTCCCAATTCCTCTCAACACGGGGACAGGAGAGCAACTGGGCCTGGTTATCTGTCCTTTTTCATAAATTATGCTGCCATTTTACTCCATTATTTGACACTATAAATATATTTTCTGGCAATCTGAAAGTGCCGCTGCAGTGTTTTATCTCTCTGCTTCATACTAATAGTCTGTCTTTTGTGGTAGCAGTTTATAAAGGCATATTTTTATTTATCTTCAAGAGCTACAGTACTTATGCAGTATCAGACAGAACGTATATGCTTGTCAGTCAAAAAAGGAAATGGAATATGTGTTGCTTTTTAATTACAGTGGCCTACCTTTATAATTACCTTAAAGGGGTCATATGATGCGATTTCAATTTTTCCTTTCTCTTTGGAGTGTTACAAGCTCTTGGTGCATAAAGAAGATCTGTAAAGTTGCAAAGACTAAAGTCTCAAATCCAAAGAGATATTCTTTATAAAAGTTAAGAGTCAGCCACACCTACCTAAAACGGCTCGTTCTAACACACCCCACATGTCTACGTCTCGCTTTTCAGACTGATGAGCTTTGTAAAAATCAAAACGTTTAAGAAAGGCGGGGCATAGAGGAGAAACAATAATGTACATTATGTGGAAAATAATGTGTTTTTTTAACCTTAAACCGCATAAACACATTTCATTACACCAAATAAACAAAATAATGTTCTTTTTAGCAACATCATGTGACCCCTTTAATCTGTGTAAAATCTATTTGTTCATCAGGTGTGTTTGGAGTGTCAGTGATAAAGGGAGATTTTGTCACTCTGAACACTGATGTTACTGAAATACCTGAAAACAATGACATACTTTGGACATTTGGAGTTGGTAGTTCTCTTATAGCTGAAATCAGTAGAGAGAAACAAATCTTCTCCACATATGATGTCCCTGATGGATTCAGAGACAGACTGAAGCTGGACAATCAAACAGGATCTCTGACCATCACAGACATCACAACTGAACATGCTGGACTCTATAAACTGGAGATAACTGGTGCAAAATGGTCATCAAAAACATTCAGTGTTTCTGTCTATGGTGAGCAGAGATCATTTGTTCTGCCTGTTACATATTCTTGATTTTATAGTTTGAGGTGACATCATATAAACACTCACTCAACACACTGAACTGAAAATTAAATTACTGTGTAAATTTATCCTATTTTAGTTCATTCTCTAATGTTTTCAGCTCGTCTGCCTGTTCCTAACATTACCAGTGACTGTTCATCATCATCATCATCATCATCATATTGTTCATTGTTGTGTTCAGTGGTGGATGTGGGTCATGTGACTCTCTCCTGGTACAAAGGAAATAGTTTACTGTCCAGCATCAGTGTGTCTGATCTCAGCATCAGTCTCTCTCTACCTCTGGAGGTGGAATATCAGGATAAAAACACCTACAGCTGTGTGCTCAACAATCCCATCAGCAACCAGACCAGACATCTGAACATCAGCAAACTCTGTCAGCCATGTTCAGGTAGGACAGTAGCTAACGTTTGTACAACAGTTGTTTCACCATTTATATAACTCCACTTGCAGTATTTCTCACAGCAAGTGTCACGGCAGACGCCCAAATCCACTATAATCTTATAAATAATGCTGTTTGAAAATTTCTATTTGAAAAGTCGATTCAGCTGTTTCGGATATGTGAGCTACAGGGCATCAGCGGCCGTTCAGCGCTCATGAATCCGCCGAGAGCATCCTTAGCTCAGCCAGATCTTCTGGAATTTGCAGATGACTCTGATGTCTCTATAGTGGTTAAACATGAGATATAATTTGTTTTGGGTAAATCTAATGGTAAATCTAATCTCATTAATCCATTATTTGTTCCAGAGCAAATAGTTTTGCCTGAGGGCAAAGATTCATAAAATTATATTTTATACAACTTTAATGCTGTATATCAGAGCACTGCCTTTGTACTTTTGACTGAATTGCCTAGCAAATTTTATGATGGCTGTTGTTGCTTATTAAATATTATTATTCAATAAATATTATTTGATATAAATAATAGTAGTATTTAATAATAGTATGTTCACAAGTCTTTAACTTAAGTCCGAGTCATGTTTGAAGTCTTTAACCTGGAGTCCGAGTAAAGTCAAAACAGTTTTTCTGTAATGACATTTTATAATATGAGTCAGATCTACCATGACACACAAGGAAATATGTGACAAAGATTTTATAAAACCATACAAATAAATTATTTCTTTATTATATAAGTCAGGGGTATTCAATTAAAGTGCCAAGGCACGGCCTCTATATTTTCTTCCAAGCATAGGTCCTGAAAAAAAAAAAAAAAAAAAACTACATGTATTGCATTTTTACATTTAGATATATGTGAGGCCATGTGACAGAAAAAATACTGTTTCTGTTCAGGGTTTTAGGGCTGTGACAGCTGCGTCTGTCTACTGCCACCGGCGGTAGTGCACGTGACGTCACGCACTCTATAACAAGCATAATACGAAGTTTTGTATACAAGTGTAATAACAGTAGTGTAACAGTGAACCGTGTCTACACCGGACGCGACACCGCCGCGTCGCAACAGGTTGAGTCTGTCTAGTACAGGGGTGCCCAAACTCGGTCCTGGATGTTCGGTGTCCTGCAGAGTTTAGCTCCAACTTGCCTCAACACACCTGCTGGTAAGTTTCTAGTATGCCTATAAGAGCTTGATTAGCTGGTTCAGGTGTGTTTAATTGGGGTTGGAGCTAACCTCTGCAGGACACCGGCCCTCCAGGACCGAGTTTGGTCACCCCTGGTCTAGTGTCTACACAGGACATTTGAACTCTGTGTCAGTACCTCATTAATAGAACGAGGCAGTTTTACTGTCGGGGATTTGTCATGTCGTGCCGCATCCAGTTTTTTTTATTGGTCTTATGAAGTATTCTGATTTGTTGAGATAGTGAATTGGTGGGTTTTTGTTAAATGTGAGCCAAAATCATCACAATTAAAAGAACCAAAGACTTAAACTACTTCAGTCTGTGTGCATTGAATTTATTTAATACACGAGTTTCACAATTTGAGTTGAATTACTGAAATAAATGAACTTTTCCACGACGTTCTAATTTATTGAGATGCACCTGTATACTATTTAAATATTTTTGCCTACTTAAAAGCATCATCTAAAAACAATGTAGCTACAATAATCAAAACATTCTCATCTTGAGCAGAAAAGAAAGATAACTAGAGATTTCAAAGTTTAAGTTCTATCCTAGCCATCTAACAACAATTTCCTCAATTATAATTACATGATTCTTTTGAAATGTTCTTAGCCTACAGATTAATAATGCTAAACGTAGATCACAAATGTCGTCACATCTGGTTTGAACAGTCAGAGTCATAGGTTATATATAGATAAATAGATAGTATGAAAAATAACTATATTTGCAGCGTTGTTGTTTTCTGCTGTGTTTTGTTGTTTCTGTTGTTGTTAAAATAACTGCATCATCCGCAGCTCTTGAACTTGGCGCCGGTGTTCTGACGATTTGTGCTACCCTGTCAGATTTTGCTACCTCCCATTAAAACAGATGGTAGCATAATTCGATAGCGAAAAGTGCTACCTATCAGATTTTGCTTCCAGCATGATATTAATAAGGTGTGAGGCTTTATTAACATGTACACCTACCCCAACCTGAGATCTACCATTACAGTAGGATAAATACAGTGTTGGTAGCATAATCTGATAGGTAGCCTTATTTGTTAGAACACTGGCGTTTACTTTCAACAACACCTTGTAAGACGCAGCCAACAAATGCACTGAGCAGTGTTGTCTTTGGAAATCACCCTTAACAGATGAAAGGATAGTACGATGAAGATATTGCATTCCTCAGCAGGCATTCAAAATAATGTTTTATTGTGAATATGAGACTGAGTTGAAGAATGATTGCTGTATCAGATGCAGGTAAAAACACTTGTTCAGTCCATCTCTCTCTCATAATACTCTACATAATACATTGAGCTTTTAATACAATAATACAATAAGCTTTCAATAAAGCAACTCAACGTTTCTTCGTTACCTGTTCTAAAGTGATGTTTTAGTAACGGAGACTTGGGCTCAGCTGTTAAACTGTCTAACTGAGATTTGAATCTGTGGTGGAAGGAAGTAGTTCTGCACAAAAGAGGGTTTTTAAAGACGCTCCATTTTTTTTCTCTTTTTTATTTACACACTTGTGCCATCGAACTGTGGTAAAAATGCAATGTCACACTCGAAGCAGTGCAATATGGCTGTATATCAGCACGCTATGATTACTACGGCCAAATCACAGCCATGCTGATATACAGCCATATCACACTGCTACGAGCGTGATATTGCTCATTTATTCATTGAGCTGATTTCTGTCTATTGTTGTAGCTCAGACTCAATAACTTACATGAATATATCTCTTTTCCTCTCCTTCACATTCTCCAGACTCAGATTCTTTGACAGTGTTGATCTCTGTTGCTGCTGCTGAATCTCTGTTGATTGTCGCTGGATTTGGGATCTTCTGCATCTGCTGGAAATGTAGAAAAACTGGTGAAGAAGGCAAGTGTTACCTATTGATTTTAATCAACTGATAGCTCATATTGTACCATACAAATAAAGTATTTCTTTATTATATAAGTCAGGGGTATTCAATTAAAGTGCCAAGGCGCGGCTTCTATATTTTCTTCCAAGTAGAGGTCCTGAAAAAAAAAAAAAAAAACTATGAATTGTAATTCAAAAAACATATTGTAATTTAATATAATTCATGAATGTTACACCATTTAGTTCCTAAATAATGTGTGTGGTTAGTGGTTATTGCAATGATCTGCCCTGAGTAGCTGTCTTTATTCATGTCACGTGCAAAAACTCATTCTGTTTTTACTGTTTTACTCTGCTAGTAGTGGGTGAAAAGTAACAATGGCATACATATGTTAATACACTTTTTAAAATTGCAGCATTAATATATCTAATTAATTGTGTGCATAAATTATTAAACTTTGGAAGCCCTAAAATAACACATTGTAAATTACTGTTGTTCAAACAGTTCAGATTTGTGAAGACGAGATCACTTATGTCGTTATGATACATGAGCCAACGTTCTACGAAAGAAATGCACATACATTGGTAAGATTATTTATTTCAAACTATGTTATGTGTCTCTGTATCATTTCAGCAGTGAGTCAGATGTAGATCAGTGTGCACTTTTTGTCTGTATAATGATTTATCACATAGTAATATAAAAGACTAACAGATATTTTCTTTCTTCAATGTAGTTCCAAAAGAAGCCATTTTACTGTTAATTGTGTATTGTTGGCATACAAGACCTCTGTAAGTAATTTAGTTTAGTTTTTTTATTGTGGTTTTAAGAGTCTATAGGTAGATAAAAGGAGTCAGATTAAGTTACTTTCATATTTTGAACTAGAGTGCATTTATAAAGCTACTGAGAAAACACTAGAATATTAGAATAACTGAATAAAATGTTCTAAAGCAGAAAAAAATAAATACATACAACTAGCCATACAACTGTTTAAAATAAATGACAATAAATAAATGTTTAAAGGGAGAAAGAAACTGAATCAAGCTACTGTATGGCATACATTCATTCAGAAAATTCTTCACTTCAGGCTCGTTCTTGATATATTATTGACCATATTTCTGTTATGTAGGCTGGACATTTTCAATTGTTCCATTCATCTTTATTATTCATCTTTATTATTACTATTTTTCAGTGTTTATTTTTTGTTCTTTATTTAAAATATTTGATTATATCTTATGTTATACTTTTTTTTTCCAGAAAGTTGAAGAGGAGGATCAAGTAGTAGGAGTATGTGCCTGTTAGCAAGAGAAGAACCTCTTGTGACAAACTTTGAATTCGAGTCTGTTGTATTAATATTAAGTTACCATATTAAGATTTATATTCATGGGAATATGCATGTCTATATATATTCATCATGACCTTATACACTCATGCCTTGAAACCAGTGCAAGTTTCAGTACTTATTTCCATCATTAGTGGCACTAGTAGAAGAGCTATTCTTGTCGATATCACATCCTCTTTTTATAAAGATCCTTTTTCTTTGTCTGACAATACCTGAGAATAATTTTAAGAATAAATTCTATATTTGTTGATTCACTGTTGTAATATTTATTGTATCATGCAAATGTGCAGTGGTTAATAACTAAGTTTTCATCAGTTTTGGGGAGTTAAAAGGAGAAATGCTGCTCAGACCTCATTTCTTCAGAAGTGTATATGACTTTCTTCTTTCAGACGAATACAGTCGGAGTTATATTAAAAATGTCCTGGCTCTTCCAAGCTTTATAATAGCAGTGAATGGGTGTTGAGATTTTGAAGCCCAAAAAAGTACGTCCATCCATCATAAAAGGAGCTCTACACAGCTCCGGAGGGTTAATAAAGGCCTTCTGAAACAAACCGATGTGTTAGTGTAAGAGGAATATCCATATTTAAAACTTTATGAACCATAATCTCTAGCTTTCGCTAACTGTAGTACGCACGTACATGAGAGAGCGGCGTTCTAGCGGATAACGTAGGATGTATGTGTAGCGTAAACGCCAGTGAGAAGAGACGAACGTGGAAGCACAGTAGAGAGAGCAAAACAAAACACCGGTCACGAATTAGAAGTACATAACGAGGATTCGTAAAGAAAAATGGCGGAGGATTTCGATATAACCCAAGAGGAGACTGGTTTTCCTTTGCTGTAAACAAAACTTGGTTCTCACAAGACTAGCATATTCTCACCGGAGCTTACGCTACGCCTGCGTCCTACGTCATCCGCTGGAACACCACTCTCAACATGTTTAAAGGCACAATATGTAAGATATTTTTTATTAAAATATCCAAAAACTACTATAACAGTGTTATATATTTTGCTGACTTGTGTACTTACATTATCCCAAATGTTTCGAAGAATGTTTAAATCCAGAGAAATAAGCAATTTTAACTAGTGACACGGACCGTGTCTATAGTGTCATTGTGTCGCCTGCCAATGATGTCATAACCCCTCGATTTCCGGTTTTGTTTTGTACAAAACATGAAAACACCAAAGGTTCTTTAATATGTTAAGCGTTTTATTAGACAGGTGACGACCGTACAGAGTAGCATTATAACAGAACTTTCAAATGTATTTAGTATGATAAAACAGCGCTGCTTTTTTCCCCACATACGCACGACCGGAAGGAGAGGAAGCGGTCGACTGTGGCATAATAAAAGCTCCTCTGCTTTCGAGCCGTGTGTCACGCTCATTCAGCGGCCTCGTTTCGCTTCGACGGCTTTCAGCCTCACCCTGCTTCATTCTACTACGTTAATAAATCAGTCATTAGCTCATCCAGGAACATGATTTCTGCCTGAGTCCCATCGGATTGCATCGGCTGTGGGGATGAAGACGACAACTCCCATGTTTCCACACTCAGTCACGGCGTCATAAAACTACGCCATTGATTCTTTGTTTGGTTTGAATACGCGCCCTCTAGCGGTGAAAATTACATATTGTGCCTTTAAATATAACTCTGATTGTATTCTTCTGAATGAAGAAAGTCATATACACCTAGGATGGCTTGAGGGTGAGTAAATCATTGGGTAATTTTCATTTTTTGGTGAACTATCCCTTTGAACTCTCTGTGATCTTCCAGTGACTAGTGACTTGCTGCTAGATGATAAATCCTACAAGTCTCCTGCAAGTCTCTTTTTTTCACCTGTTTATGATATAGCAAGTGACAATGGTGCGTCTGAGATGAACACAATAGATTATAATATATTGATGATAATTTTAATATATTTACACCTGTCTAGCGGTTGTATATATTTAACTGATTAATGGCGGCATCTGCTAGGATCAATCATCTATCTGTCTATCTGTCAATGTGAAAATTGTGTCAAATAAAATTTGTTGAATAAAATTAGCAATGAGTGGAATCAATGATTTCAGCAAATACAAAAACTAAAATCAGATAGATTTCTCTCAATTTAAAGATTTACAAGATTTGTTCCCAATAATTTTCACCAATATGGGCTCATCTTCAGACCATGCTGGCAAAAAGCTATTGAAAGATTTTTACAGACCAAACCGTTCTTGTAAATTTAATGAAAACTGTGCCAAAATGGCTATATTTCTGCAATGCTTTAACATATTCAGACCAAATTTGGTCTGTGTTATACCAATAATGGCCTGAGGATATATGAGCAGTTTCAGCACAGTGCCACCGAGTGGTCAATAAATATAAAAAATATACATTTTTGCTTGTAACTGTTGAACAGCTTGGCTAAAAAAAATCATAAGATTGTTCTCTTTAGGTACATTTTTGTATGTCGGTCATTTTGTGCATCAGACATTTTTTTAAATTTGCATAAAATAATCTACAAATGTCTTTGAGTAATCAAAGACAGCTCCTTAGCTCTTACATATAATTATGTGGAGCGGAATTTGTGACCAATAAATTTCAATATAGGCAGGGCTTAAATAGAAACTTAGCAAGCAACATCCTGCATGCTAGTTAGGACAAAAACTCAGATTTGCACAAGATACATTTATTTGCTTGTTAAATTATTGCATCATGTTTGGAGAGGATGCAGATGACAGTCACTTTTGACAACTGGACTGTACAACTGAATTAATTTCCGATAAATCCAGATGACAGTCACTTTTGTACGGAATCTTAAGAATCTTAATGTATTGCTTAATGTATTGCTTTTTTATTTTTAATTTACAATTTGACTCCCAGTATTATGGGAAAGATTTCAGGGTCTTTAGTTTAAGCATTTAGTGGACTCACTCACTCACGACACATTTTAAAGGTTTGCCAACCTACCCCCTGTGTCTGTGTCAGACACAGTTCCTCATCACATTTTTCCACATTTAAACAGTTTTAAAAAGCTTTTCAATGCAGCAGGACAACAAGACTACAACAGTTAACTAAGTTAAACCCACATGCTCTGAATGTCCACTCTCACCTACAAGATGTTTGTCCACCCAACAGATCAAACCACATTTCGGAAGAACAGAAAACAGCAGCTTTCAGTTTGACTCAGAAACTGAACTTCAGTAAAACTGATAGTGTGAGATGGCAGACAGTTTTAACTTTAACTTTTTTTTTTTGCATACACTAATGTTAAGAACTGAATAAATATACACAACAATTTAAAAATCACAAAACTTTCATTAGTTTTACCATGAAATGTAGTTTATCCACAGCTCACACAATTTTCTTCTACTTCTGGCCATTTAACACAGTCAAGCAACTACCTTACAAAAAGTATGTTAAAAATATAGAATATTTTCGCCCATTAAAAAGTTAAAATACAAGGATTGGACGAAATAAAACATTATACCATATGCAAATATAGCGTGTGAACTAGGAGGGTCAAATTCTGTCAGGGGAGGAGTCACATCAGGTTGAGTTTTTATTAGATCAGACACTGAACCACTGAAAAAAATGTTTCACATGTTTGTTTTGTTCTGTCTGTGCTGGTGGAGTCTGACTGGTAAGTTGTTGTTGTTGTTGTTAATAATTAGACTTATTAGAATTATTCTTAATAAATTAGAATAATTTTCATCTGCTACTGTCTGTACCAAATAAATAATTACTATGAGAAATCTCATGGGAAATCTTGACAGCGAATGTAGATGTCTTTGTTTATGTTCCGCATGGTGACTCAGAAAGCCAAAACCTTCCACTGAGTTGCTTTTAAATATCAGGCCATTTTTGTTTTTCTTTTTGTTTTAAATGTAAATTCTATTTTAAAATAATTCCATGGTTTAAAAATTTTAAATGCAGTCATCATACATTTCTACAAAAGTCATGAAAAGTCACTAGTCCAAATCTGCAGGAGCCATGAGATCATGAAAGACGGTAATAAAACAGTGAGTTTATTTTATACTGTTCTAAATGTCTCATTTACTAATTATTGAAAATATTCAGCACAACTAAACTATGTAACTTTACACACTGATTTTACCCCACAGCAGATAACTTTAAAACAAATCCCTGTTAATTTTGTGTCTCTGCTGTTGCTGTGAATATTCTTCAGTTCACATGCAAATGATTAAAACTACAGCTGATTTCAGGATTTGTAAACCAACAGGAGCATTGATCTGTGACAAAACCTCTTTATGTTCATCAGGTGTGTTTGGTGCAGAAACTAATGAAATGCAGTCAGCGTCAGTGATGGAGGGAGATTCTGTCACTTTAAAAACTAATGTTACTGAATTACATGGAGATGAAGACATAACATGGAAATTTGGAGCTGAAAAGTCTCTCATAGGTAAAATCACTGAGAAACGAAACTTTTCAACATTTGATAGTCCTGATAGGAGATTTAGAGACAGACTGAAGCTGGATGATAAGACTGGATCTCTGACCATCACAAACATCACAACTCAACATGCTGGACTCTATGAACAACAGAAAAGGGGAGCGAAACTGTCATCAAAAATATTCAGTGTTTCTGTTTATCGTGAGTAGAGATTATTTGTCCTACCATTTACATATTATTGTTTTATAGTTTGAGGTGACAGATCGTACAAAAACTCACTCAACACTAAACCATTAAAATAAAATTATTTACTTTATCCATATTTCTGTTTATTCTCTCATGTTTTCAGCTCATCTGCCTGTTCCTGACATCAGCAGTAACTCTTCACAATGTTCATCATCATCATCATCATCATCATCATCACAGCAGAATTGTTCATTGGTGTGTTCAGTGGTGAATGTGGGTCATGTGACTCTCTCCTGGTACAAAGGAAACAGTTTATTGTCCAGCATCAGTGTGTCTGATCTCAGCATCAGTCTCTCTCTACCTCTGGAGGTGGAATATCAGGAGAAAAACACCTACAGCTGTGTGCTCAACAATCCCATCAGCAACCAGACCACACATCTGGACATCAGTCAACTCTGTCACACATGTTCAGGTACGGCAGCACTATATATGTGTTTATTAATTGACATGATATTTTCTTATAGAAAATCAGACTGACACATTCACTTCTCTATGATTACAGCATTGGATGGACACTTTACTTCACAAGCAGTCTTTCTGATAGTGCTGGTTCCTGCTGCTGCTGGATCTCTGTTGATTGTAGCTGCTGTTGGGATCTTCTGCATCTGCAGGAAACACAGAAAAACTGATCAAGAAGGCAAGAGTTGCCTAAATGACATGTAGCTTTTTAGTTTAAAAGTGCACAAGTGCACTTGTTAATGCTGTCAAAAATAATTTGGCATTAAAAATTAAATTGCACACATTAATGCTTTACCTTGTTGCAAAGAAACAAATCTAGTTAAGATTGTGTTTTGTTGTTTTAATGCATCTATTATTATTGTCAAAACAGTTCAGACTCGTACAGAAGAGATCACTTACTCTGATCCGACATTTCACAGAAGAAACAAACAGAAATCGGTAAGACTAATTATTCCTAATTTCATGTTACTCTGTCAACTAAGAAACTATATATATACTAATTATATATATAAATGCTGGATCTTTAAACCTTCTGTCAACACTACAGACTTCAACTCTCAAAAACATTGTTTGTTCAATTAATTTAATTTAACAGAAGAAAATATGTCCATAAAATCAATTCAGGTTTATTCAACAGAAACAAGTCCAGGTTTGTGTGTCAGCTGACTACTATAGTATCACATATTAGTGAAAACATAATTTATTATTGGAATGAAGCACAGTTATTTCTCACTGTAATAATATTTGTGCATTGCATTTACATTTACTTATTTAGCAGACACTTTTATCCAAAGCGACTTACAATTGGGGAATGCATCAAGTGATTCATCTTAAAGAGGCAAATAGACACAAGAAGTGCTCGTAATACCAAGTTTCAAGCATTGTTCAAATAAGTACAAGCTAGACAGGGAAAGATTAAAGAAAGGAGAAAAAAAACTTAGTGTCAAAGTCAAATAGTGACGAAAGAGATGAGTTTTCAGCTGTCGCTTGAAAATTGTCGGGAAATCAGCATTCCGGATAGGGGTGGGAAGATCATTCCACCAGCCAGGAACGGTGAACGAGAATGTTCTGGAAAATGATTTTGAGCCTCTCTGGGATTGTACCATGAGGCGTCGCTCACTAGCGGATCTCAGACTTCTGGAGGGGATGTAGATTCGTAGTAGTGAGTGGAAGTAGGGTAGTCCAGCCTGGAAATGACAAGGGCCTGGATAAGAAGTTGTGCAGCATGCTTCGTTAGAAAGGGCCTGATCTTTCTGATGTTGTGTAGTGCAAATCTGCAAGATCGAGCAGTCTTTGCAATGTGGTCTTTGAAGGTCAGCTGGTCATCAAAGATTACACCAAGATTTCTGACCAAACTTGATCGGGTAATTGTTGATGAACCCATCTGGATTGTGAAGTCATGCTGTAGATTTGGAGTGGCAGGGAAGACAAGGAGCTCAGTCTTTGCCAGGCTGAGCTGTAGGTGATGTTCCTTCATCCATGCTGAGATGTCCGCCAGGCAGCCTGAGATCCATGCAGTTACTGTTGGATCATCTGGATGAAATAAAAAAAAGAGCTGTGTGACATCAGCATAGCAATGGTAAGAGAAGCCATGTGCCTGTATTATGGATCCCAGTGATGTAGTGTATATGGAGAAGAAGAGGGGTCCAATAACTAATCCCTGAGGAACCCCAGTGACCAGCTGATGAGCTTTTGGATATCTCCCCTCCCCAGGCCACCCTGAAAGACTAACCAGTGAGATAGGATTCAAACCAGTGAAGTGGAATCCCTGTGATGCCCAGTGATGAGAGGGTGGACAGGAGGATCTGATGATTCACAAAGTAAAAAGCAGCAGATAGATCCAGCTAAATAAGTATGATGTAAGATGTAAGTAAGATGACTTGGAATCAGCTTTTGTGATCCGCAAGGCTTCCATGACTGACAGTAACGCAGTCTTAGTTGAATGACCACTTCTGAAACCTGACTGGTTAGTGTCCAATTGGTTGTTCTGAGAAAGAAATAATGATACCTGGTTAAAAACAAATCGTTCAAGTGTTTTTGATATGAATGGAAGGAGAGAGACAGGTCTGTAGTTATCTATAAGTGAAGTGTTTAATGTAGTTTTTTGAGCAGTGGGGTTACCCGAGCCTGCTGAAATGCAGAGGGGGAAGTACCTGTGAGAAGAGATGTGTTGATGATGTGTGTGAGTGCTGGTAAGAGTGTAGGAGAGATTGCTTGGAGAAGGTGTGAGGGGATTGGGTCTAGAGGGCATGTTGTAGGATGGCTGGAGAGGAGAAGTTTGGATACTTCTGCCTCAGTGAGGGAACAGAGGAAAAGAGGGGTGTTTTAGCAGTGGATGTACAGGTGCATCTCAATAAATTAGAATGTCATGGAAAAGTTCATTTATTTGTTGGTTTGAGTCCCTGTATGTTTGGAGCCGAGAACTGAATGCTGATTGTTCTAGTTTTGTCTGTGAAGAATGTGGTGAAATCATCAGCTGTTATAGAAGTGGTGGGAGGTGGTGGAGGGGGGCAGAGGAGAGAATTTAATGTTTTGAAGAGGTTGCGTGTGTTAGGGGCGCTGTTGATCTTGTTGTGGAAATATTAAGATTTGGACACTGTGCACACCAAACATCTGGAGGACTAAACCTTGTTTTTGCTAACTGTAGCAGAAACTCACTGTTAAACCATCCAAAAGCTAAATCACACATCAGACCAGATTTTTAATGTCCAATTCGGAATTATTTCAATCCATTGTATAGTATTCATGCGAATCAGTGAAGCCAGAAAGTTACATGCTATGTCACAACCAAAGGAATTTGTCTGTCCAAGATATATTTCTAAGAGAGTCACACTTCTCTTTGTTTTTAAGTGTTATCATTTCTTATGTAATTTTTTTTTAGCATGTTAAAGAGGAAGATAATGTGGAGTATGCACCTGTTGCCACGAGAAGATGATCTTCAGTCTTCAGTGTTTTTCTATCAGATCTGTGTCACTGCTTTTACTAGGAATCTCCTGCAACAACCTCAAACTCTGAGTCTTGGGATGAGTTTAAGGATTGTTGAGAATCACCACGTGTGACACTTAAGGACTGATTATTGAAGGGATCCCCTAAAAATATACCTTTCTCTCATTTATGTACACCTGTTGGGTAGACAAACAACTTGTGCATGAGAATGTGTCTACTGCTGTATGATTGTGTTTGATGTATTATTCTTTATTATGATGTATTAGTCTTATTTTGATGTAACAAAGTGGTTAAGTGTGTCAGTTGTTTACTTACTTTTTTAATTAGTCTTCCCATTAACACCATTATTTGAGTGATTCAGACTGATTCGCTAATGCGCAACATGCACAAACACAAGAGGCGGGATTTATGCATGAACCAATCACAGCCAAACATAACCAGTCATATCCAAACACGTGACTTTCATTCTGAACGTGACCCATTCATTCTCAATAACCCCCACTAAACCCACTGCTCATTTAGGGCGGTCTGTTACAACTCAGTGGGCTCAGAGGCGACTAGAGAGATGCAAACTCCCG